GGGGTGGGGGCGCTGGGTGCCGGCGGGCGGGCTGGGGGGGTCCGGCCGGTGTCCTGCCACGGGCTGGAGGGCCGGGTTCTGCCTGTGCCGCCTGGCTGCCTGCGCCTTCGGGGAGGGAGGCTGGAAGAGGAGGCAGAGAACCATGGCGGGGAAAGCTTTGTCTGGGTGGGAGCGCGAGCCATGCGCGTGCATACAGGGCAAAAAGCTCCTCAGCGACATGCTGCGATGCGGTGCTGGCAGGTTATAACCGATTTATGCTGACGATTAACAGTAATAAACAACTAAGCTATTATTACACCTCCGGTTTAATTTTTCCTTGCACTTAGGACAAAATTGCTCTTTAATACCTGTGTCTGAAGCATTCACCAGGCAGTTAATGTATAGGTTATGTGAGTGACCAGTTGCACTTAGTTCTACTCTAAGTGCCGTCCCCATATGACACAGGGTGACGTCTGCCGTCTACATTTCACACTCACTTGCGCCCGTGTCTTGCCCGGGCTGTCTGTTGTCAGATGATGTGGTGTATTCGGGAGCTCGGTGCTCACATCAGGGGAGCGTCTCTGCTTGCTGCGGTGAGCAGGAGGCTTGAGAGCAGCTGTCTGATGGAATAAATCACGGGTTTTCAGGCTTGTCCCCGCACCTCCTTCAATGCTGTTACACGGCTGAAGCATCGCTTACCTCTCTCACCTCCTGCACCCGGTTTCTCTTGCTGAAGAAGCGGCTCTCAGACAAACTGGTTGGCTTGTTCCTCTGCCTCACTGCCTTCCACAAGCCCTTTTTTGGCTTTGTCAGCGTCATCGCGTCTTGTTTAGAAATTGGTGGGAAGATGGGTACCTGGGCGTAGGGGCTGCCTGAGCGGGTTGAAGGGAAAAGGAACTGGAGTCACTGACGGTGAGGCCAGCAGCCAGCTGTCTCCCGCCTCTTGGTTTGCCTCCTCTCACTGGGGGAGGGCTTGGTGGGTCCCAAAATCCTCCTTCCTCTGAACCATGAGTCACAAGAGCTGTCTGGCATGCCCAGCGTCAGCAGGCACAGATCCACAAAGGCACCCATGCCTTGGCTACGCTGTGGAGTGCGTAATCTGCAGCAATCATGGTGCAGAGGTGGCTGCAGGTGTTGGGGTAGCCCAGAGCTCACCCACCGCGAGAGGCTTTGTAGTGGAGTGTTTCTGGCAGCCACCTTGCACGGACACTGCTGGAGAGCAATTCCTGTGCCCCTATGAGCCCCTGGAGCAGAACCCACTGCAAATGTTCGATTTTGCTTCTTGCCCTGGGAGGGTTTTGGGCTGGAGGGACTCCCGAGGTCTCCTCCAGCTCCGCTTTCTGTGATCCTCTTGGGAATTACCTTAGGAAAGGGGTGCTAGTGCAAGGCTGACCCTGAGCCTTGCTGAACTCCATACTAGGAGCACTGCTCCTCCACCTGCAGAGCAGGCTACGTGCCAGGAGGGAACAGAAGAAGCTGTGACGGTCGGGTTTTCACCCTCGTAGCTCCAGTGACTTCCCTTTTGGACAGAGCGGGAGTGGCAGCGTGCAAGCCTTACCTTTGAGGTGCCCCACGTAAGCTGGTGCTTCCCTTTTGTTCTTGGCTGAGACTCGGGCAGCTCTTGCGAAGGCAGGCTTAGGGTAAAACAGCTCTTCCCTAATTTTGTGGAACTTCTTTCTGCGACACTTGAGGAAGTCATCATCCATCCAGCCTTCGATGCCACCGCAGTCCCTAAGCTTCTGCTGGTAGTAACTAGAAGACAAAAGAGGGCGTCATTGTCCCATGAAACACAGCCCAAGGCCCCGCTCGGCACTGCCTGCGGTGCACCCGCAGATCTGGGAAGAGCCCGTACCTGAGGATATTTAAACTGCAAAGGCGTGTAATAGGCAGGTGGTGGCATTTACAACAGTGCAGGTGCTTTTGCATGTCCACCGGGGTATGAAACATCTCTGGAAATCTAGTCTCGGGGCCCCTGTGTTCTGTATATTGAGTTATAGAAGGCACAAATATCCCAGTAAAATGAGGACCTCCCCTCTGCCTCGCAGAGCTAAGGCAGCTCACCTGATAGTCCGAACCAGATTTCGCCGAGGCAGAGCTGCCAACTCCACCAGCTTTAGGACACCTTTGAAGAGGAGGATTTCTCTGGCATCGACAGAATCGATGCTGCCGGAGTTGTTTTTCCCAGGGGCTGGAGAGGAGGAGGGTGGTCAGAGCCATGGCCGACCCTCTTTGGAGGATCATGCAATGCTGCAGGACCAAGCTCAAGGTCAAACCACTCCTTGCCATGCCATGCTGGCGACATGCCTGCTAGGGGGGAAGCCCGTGACAAGGTGACATTACCTTTCCATTGTTTCCTTGTCATGTTCTTTGTTGCTTTGCACTCGGTTCTCTGCCGAGGGATGCGTGAGGGGTCCCTGCCACAGACACAGCGGCATAAAGAGATATGGACAGACTGACAACCGAGAGGCACGCACTGACAAGAGAGAAGCTCCTGCTGATGGAGCTGGAGCAAGCAATGCAGGTGTCAGTCCTTCTCCCAGCCCCACGGGCCAGGCAGTGCTGCAAAGACCACCAGGGAAGAGCTCACCACCCAGCTCCACGCTCACAGGGCTGGGAGTGAAGCACTGTGTGGCAGGCTCGTTAACCACCCGAGGCTGCACAGATATGAGAATGGGGTCTCCGCTGTATTCACGGTTCAGACCAGCTTGGACAGAGGGCAACTGTGGCCACCCTGTTGTGTGTGGGGAAGCAGAAACATCAACCAGGAGGTAACAGCCCCGGAAACCTCCCTTGGCCGCACTGCAGCACTGGGTGGACCAAGCTCTGTGACCCACAGCCCTCGCTGGGGCTGGTGCTCAGGAGCCTGGCCCAGTCCACCACCCGTGCCTCAGCATTTCTTCTGTACATTGGTAATCAGAGAGTCAGAGAATGGTTTGGGTTGCAAAGGACCTTATAGATCATCTCTGAGCAGCCTGGGCCAGGGCCTCACCACCCTCGGAGTAAAGAACTGCTTTGTTATATCCCAGCTGATAGCAATGCCAACACACAGCGCGTGGTAGGGATCAGTGTGAAAGGAGGACCCCTGCACATGATCACAGAACAGACCAGGGACAGCAGCGGTTCCACACACCCTGTTTCCACCTTCACGCTCACCTGGTTGTCTCCCTGGGGAGGGGTTTTATCACCCTCTTCTTTGGCAGAGGCTTTGGTATCATGCTGGTTTTGGGAGCACAGCCAGGAGAAGAAGCAACTCTTTCTGGATGTGGAAAGACAAGTGGAGAGCCTCATGGGCTTCCCTCCAGGCAGGACTCACAGCTGTAGCCATCACCAGGAGGAGAGCTGGAAGGACCCCACAATTATACCTGTCCCTGTTTTTTGTGCTACCACAGCATTAACTCGCTGTCCCATCCTGTTCATGGGCAGCAGGCTACCCAGCAGTGGAAATCCTGCGCCCTCCCAGTATTCCCTGTTCTTTGCTTCTTCCCTGTGGCTGATTCAAATTTCCTCTTGTCATTTAAGCCTCTGACTGCTGATCCCTCCTGCAGTGGATGTGGAAGGTAGTTTGTTCCCCTTCCTCTGCCCTTCCCTCCACAGTAGCCAGCGCCTGGCACAGCAGGTAGCTCTGAGGCAAACTGCCACCCATGGAGGTGACACTTCACGGACAAACTGGTTTTCCTTTCTCCACTCTTGCACATGGTGCCTCATGGTAGCCAAAGGCTGACTAGCCACAGGTGGGGATGAACATCACACCAAGATCTCCCTTACACTGTCCTCCATCTGCTAATCCAGAACCTCGTTCAGCTGGTGGATGCGGGGCCACGCGATTGGTGTCGCAGCACAGCCAGCCTGTCACCCCTGCCGCACTGTGACCCGGTACAAGGTCCCATAGCACGGGTGGCTAAAGACCCAGTCTTATTTCCTGCTGTCACCCCAGAAAATCTGTGAGACACTGGGCAAGGCATTTTGGCTATGCCCAGACTTTCAAGTCCCAAATGAGAAGCCCAAGGCTTGGCTAGACGAAACCTTGTCCAGCCTGATCTAGTGCTGGCAATAAGTGGCTCCATGTGGGAAGCTGGTTTGGAGGCCTCCAGAGGATCCTTCCCACCAGTATTTCCACGATTCACTCACTGTTCACTTTTGCCTCTTCTGGCTTCTTTGGGTCTGAATGGATCCGTGGGGTGGCCAGGGTGGAGCCCTCACCAATGACATCAACTTTGTCCTCTGTGAAAGTTAAAAGGACCCTCTGAGGATTGATTTCCTTCTAAACATGGGTGTTTTCAGTAAGTACCATCCTAAACACATCAGCACGGTGCTACCACCTGCTATCTGGAACAGGCTGCCCAGGGAGGCCTCGGGAAATATTCAAGCCCCGCCTGGGCAAGGTCCTGTGGAGCCTGCTGTAGGCGACCCTGCTTCGGCAGGGGGTTGGACTGGGTGACCCACAGAGGTCCCTTCCAGCCCCTGCCATGCTGGGAATCTGTGTGATTCTGTGATTGACAGCTAGGACATGGAGGGAGACTGGTTACACGAAATGCAGAGCAGTGTTAGTAACATCTTTTGCCTTTCTCCAGCTCTGTCCTCCAGAGGATTTAAAATCTTTTCAGCACATTAGTGACATTAATCTCTCATGCTTGCAGGGAGGGGAAAAGCACTGCCATCACTGCGACGAGGGGGGAGCAGAACGAGATGGCGTGGCTTGGGGACAAATTGGGTCTTGAAACAAGAAGGGAAACAGAAGCCAGAGGGAGTCAAGTAAATCTTTGTCAGTCTCGAGCAGCCCATCCTACATCTGTGATTTCCCACCCTCGTGGCTCAGGAGTTACGACATGGAGCAAGAAGCATGCCGAGAGCAGCGTTGTGCTTTGATTTTTCCAGCACCTTCGGGTTTGATGTGTTCATCTCTGATGGCCCTGAGCAATATTACGGTTTCTGGTGGGAAATGTTAGAAGGTTGGTCTGGGGATGGAATCCTTGATGAGAAGTCTGAGTTTAACATGTTTTCTCTTGGTGTGCTGTACAGGGGAGCTTGGCTGCACACCCCAAGTGCTGTGACTGCCATGTGTAATCACACGTGTTAAGGAAGGCTGGTGAATACGGGGATTTGTGTTGCCTGTCTGGCTTTGGCGAGTCTGCACACGGTGGTAGTGTGCTCTGCAGGGAAGTTTTGGAAACCTACTGCGGTGCTGGTGTGTCTCTGGCTCTCCCTGCATGGCTTCACTACCAGCAGACTTCCAGTTCAGTAAGATAGGTGTCCCCAGAGTTTGCTTCTGAAGGACTTTTTTCTGATCCCGTTTGCTGTCATCTAGCAGCAACTTGGATTACGGAGATCTTGCTCACCTTCCCCCGGGGGTGGTTGCTGAACTGACCTCACTGCCTTCACGGATTCACTCAGCTTCACCTTCCCGTCAGCTGCGGAGGGAGAGCAACGCTCAGCATCCCTGGAAAGAACAGACACCAGAACACGGCGGGGACGAGGTGCTGCTGGTGGACCCATTGACAGCTACGGCACAAGCTAGGGGCTTCCCCCAGATGGTGGTCAGAGGTTGCTTCCTTCCAGATGAAGGCAGGATGTCGTCCTTCGGCAGGGTCAGGCACTGGAAAAAGCGAAAGTTGAAAGCAAAAGCGCTGGGGTTTGCTTCTCTTTACACTGGTGGGAATCCAGACTGACTTCGTTGGGCACAACCCCCTCCCTCCCATAGTGTGAGGCCTCTGTGGCAGATGACGGTACAAAAAACAACGTACTAGAGCCTGCTGAGACAGGGGAGGAGGATTTTACTGCTAGAGGAACAATCGAGTCCCTCACCGCCAGAGACTTTCCTTCACGTTTACCCCATGTGAGTGGGAACCCACAGCATTATTTTAAGGGGCTCAGCTACCTCGAGTAGCTCCTGTGTTAACATCACGTGCTCATAGTCTGATATGCACCAGTACAGGCATACAGAAGGCTTCTAACTAATCTGTTGGTTTTGAGAGATTTCTAGGCTTCCTCCAAGGAAAAAGACCTCGGATACCTACCCTTACCTTCCATGTGTCCTAAGGCTTCCAGCTTCCCCTTGCTGGGCAGGTGGACCTTGCTGGCCCTCTACCATGACCAGGTCAGAGCCTGGATTATCCGCAGAGGCTGTCCTTTCTGGAACAAGAAAGTGTTGGAGACCTCTTCTGCACACTGGCAGTCAGCACAGAGGGGCTTGGCAAAAAAATGTTATTAATAATAGTAACAGAGCCTCCTTTGCCTTTCACCTGCCCTTTCCATCTCAGGATCTAAAGGACTGTAGCCACAATAATGCAACCCAACTCCCTCCCCTCCAGGCAGGGTGGGATGCTGAGGCCAAGAAAGATTAAACTCCCTTTCCGCAGCCGTTCATCACCTCTCACCTCCCTCCACACGCTGCACCGTGTGTAACACGCTCTAGACACAGCCCTCTCCTCTTTTGGCATTTATATCCTGCCGAGACAGACCGAGTTCACACCATGCCCCCCGTGCCAAATAATGCAAAGCAAAACTTCAACACAGGATTAAAGGAAAGGGAGAAATCGAGAGAATTTAACCTCTGCTGAGTGCAGTGTATCCCACGCCAGCCATGGGCCAAGTGAGAGCTGCAGAGACCCGGTAGCCACCCTGTGCTCCTGTTTCTGGCTGCAGGGGCCATGTAGGAACAGAGAGCAAGGAGGGGAATATCGGTCCCCACCTGCGGTGTGTCCTAGGGCTTCCTGCAGCTCCTTGGTGGCTAACGGGACCTCCGTGGTGCCCACATTGGAGTCTGGGTCCTGGATGTCAACCGTGTCCACTGGGGTATGGGAGAAAATGGAGCTTATTCAATAGGGAAATACATTTGGGGAAGGGGAGCCCAAAATACAGACAAGAACTTGCAGGGACACTTGGCTGCAGCTTTAAATGTCTCACTAAAAGAGCAGTTTACGACACCGAGAACTCTCACATCCACAAAGGATTTGGTAGTTTTAGCGAATCTGACCCCCAAAATGCTTCCCAAAGCAGGACTTTCTTGGCCACATGTAGGCTGGAGGTCCAAGCTTTCCCCAGAGCGTGGCACTCTCTCATCCCAGGCTAACCCTGACTCCTTTACTGCCCTGGAGATCCCATACTGGATAAATCCCAGAGCAACCCAGTCTGGTCTCTCAGCTGACCCAGCTGCGAGCAAGAAGTTGGACTAGAGACCTCCTGAGGTCCCTTCCAACCTGAATTATTCTGTGATTTTTGTGCCCTGGGAAATCTTGGCACTTCAGTTTTTGTTTTTTTTTTTATTCCAGCGCTTTCTCCTCTTCCTTCCCAGTTCCTAAGCTTTTTGCCCAGCAGATGCTCCAGATCCTGAACAACCCCGAAGTGCCGATACACTCACCATCCACAGCCACGGACTCCAGTGCCTCCTGGTAACTCTGGTCTGGTAAGTGAGTTTCCACTGGGGCTAGGTGAGATGACAGCTCTCCAACATCAACCTGCTTCCCTAGAATCAACGGGGAGATGTGTTTCACTTCAGAAAAATTTCCTAGAGCCCTGGAAAACACAGTTCTGGGTTGTGAATGGGACAGAACGCACCTGAAATAATCTCCTAGCTGCATCACAAAGTGCTTTGCTCATTCTTGGATTTATTGACAGACGTCAGTTTACAAAAGGAGTTGGTGTGTTAAAGGGCTCCGAGAAGAGGGAGCACGTCAGTACTTTCAGGGATAAAAGCAGCAATAAAAAGAACCCTGGCCCGAAGCGTTGCTGCAGGGGCTGTGTCTGTGGCATGGGTTGCAGTGTCCCTGGTCTCCGGACACCTCCATGGAGGAAAGGAACTTCTTCCCTCTGAAGGTGATGGAGCCCTGGCCCAGGCTGCCCAGGGAGGCTGTGGAGTCTCCTTCTCTGGAGATATTCCAGACCCGCCTGGACACGGTGCTGTGCAGCCTGCTCTGAGAAATGGAGATCTTCTGCTTCAACTGCACATGTGCCATCACCCTGGTTTCTCCAATGTGCTGGAGTCATCAAGGCGGGACAGAGGGTTTCAGAGGAGCACGATGGAGCAAACACAGCTGAACAGGATGGGGAGGAGCAGGGTTACCTTCTGGCTCCAGCACAGCCTCTTCCTGCTCTTCTCCCTCCTCGTATGGATCCATGCGCAGGCTGGACACGGTCTTCCTGCCAAGGGATCAGATGGACCTGTGTGAGATGACCCTGCCTGGCACCCAACCCTCTGCCTTGGGGGGTCAGATCACCCTGGGGGGACACGCCGGGGTCGGACTGGCCCAACCCCAGACGGTCCCTGCATTACCTGCCCTGGGGTGCGACAGCCGCCGCGGGGGGGCTGGCAGCTCTGTGCTGCAATGCTGGGGAGCAGCTCTCCGAGGCACTGCTGGCCCTTGAGGCTCGTTGCTGCAGCTGATCCTGGCCATTGCTCATGTACTTATTTTTCTTCTTTTTCTTCTGTAACACCTTAAAGGGAGAGGGGGTCTGGGGCCGAGAGCACGCACACTGTCAAACGCTGTCCGAGTATGGGCTGAGCCCAGGGAGGGGAATAGGATGGAGCTGGCAGCCCCCATCTGGGGGTCTCTGGGAGGGTCCAGTCCTCAATCTCTGGAGGGTCCCCAGCTCCTGGGTGGGAGTCTCCCCCAGGTTGGGTCACACCAGTGTGCTCAGCAGCAGCCAAATCCTTGCCTGTGCTTCCCGGGAGAGGGAGATCCCGGGAGAGCTGGGATGACCCAGCTGCAGCCCTGTGGACGAGGGCTGTGTGCGTGGGTGATGGGCACATAGCTTTGGGGTGTGGGCACACTTCCAAAGGAACTCATGTGGATGTGTGCGGGGGTCAGCGCTGCCCACCCTCAACTGCGTTGCTTTATCTGCCTTCGGCATGTCCTTCCTACACACCACTTGCCTGGGTGGATACGTCTCGGCCATCAGCACCATGCATCACGGGGCACCCCCCCGCAATGTTAGCACCATCTTCCAGCACCCTTCCCTTCCTACCCTGCAGCTTTTCAGCTTTGAGGACAAGCAGGGAACATGGGGAGGCCAAAACACGGACAACGTGGGCTCCCTCCACCCCAGGAGGCACCCCCTCACTCACCTCGAGGTCCTGCCGGCTGCAGACTTCTTGCTGGACTTGGTGATCCTGCTGCATGTAGAGGTTCTGCTGGACACGAAGGTCCTGCTGGATACGAAGGTCCTGCTGGACGTGAAGGCTCTGCTGGATGTGGAGGTCCTGCTGGATGTGGAGGTCCTGCTGGGGACCGACGGGGCTCGGCAGCAGGCAGATGCATCCTGGCTTTCTGCTGAGCCGCATTGTGGTGGTTGCTGCTGAGCCTTGGCGTCTGCGGGGCCACAGGGTTTGGGTGGCTTGCTGGGGGCCATCCCCTCCTCCTCCCCGCCC